CCGCTAGTTCTTTTTTTATTCTTGCCACTACTTGATCGCTTTTCAGGTCTTCCACCTTAAGAATCTTCACCAGCGGTTTCTTGGGCTCTTTAGAACCTAAAAACGAGAACCGTTAGAATGGAAACCTCTATCAGCTAGGTCAGGGCAAAGTAGGTGGGATTTAATACTAAAGAACATTAATCGGGGACTAACTAAACTTAACTAACGAAAGCATTGTTTATTGCAGAAATATTGTGTAATATGTAACTTTGGTGAAATTTTCTAGCTTATTATTTTAGCAAGACATTAAAACACGTCTTTGGCTGTGAGTGATCTGTTGCCAAACATGGCCTCAAACGTGTAGAAAAACTCCTGATGTCTTCGATGAACGTGCGTTTTTAAGTGGCTCTTCTGGTAAGCCGCATAGTCGCAATAAGGACAACTGAACGATCGCACCTTATTGCACTCAAAACGCTGATGCCTGCAAAGGTTTGGTTGGTACTTGAAGCCTTTTTGGCATTTCGAGCACTTATACATCACAGCCAGGCGGGCTGAAATATAATGAACTCCTTCAGGCAAAAACTCGCCATAAAATGCCAGGATTTTATTTACAAACGGGTTGCATCAAACACTGGCGAAAGAATAAAGTTTTTATTCAATCATTCAATATTTATCAGTCGAAGACTGCCTGGTGTTTCAGGACCATGTGGCGCTTCAAAGTGCACTTTTGATACGAACCGTATGGACAGTAGTTGCAAAAGAACGAGCGCTGTTTGCCACACTCGAAGTTTGTGTGGCGTTTTAAGTTCGCTCGACTACTATAGCTCTTGTTGCAACTTGAACATCCAAACCATCTTTTTAACGCTGAAACAGACGCTGGATTAGCGGTTTTAAAGATACTAAACAAAAACGTGATTATATTGTCTTTTATTATCATCTATCACGGATCACTGGAAAACTATCACCGACATTGTCTATATTTACAAGTAACCAAATTATTTCACTGCTGGATTTGTCTTGAAAGTCCTAGTTTAAAGCCAGAAATAGAGACAAAAACTTCAATTTTCACAAAAAAAATAACACAAAGCTAAAAATTACCGTCCGCCGAACTAAATTAAATTTGTTCCTTGTGTTGACAGAGTAGATGCTTCTTCAAATGGTGCTTGTGGTAGCTGGCATAAGAGCAGTAAGAGCACCTGAAGGACTTGGATTTCTGGCACTCAAACTTCCTGTGCCTGCTCAAATTTGGCTGATGCTGATAAGTTTTTCCACATGTATGGCAAACATAGGGCTTCCTAAATTGTGCAAGCCCTAAAAACCCTACAGTGAACTCCAGGGAGTCGCATGACGAGAGGTTGCAATGATGATACATACCGCCACTACTCTACTAAAGCGTTTTATTAGCGATAAAATGAATCAAACTTCTCAATGGAAATGTCTAGGTGTTGAGTCGCACAGTGTCTTTTAAGGGTGTATTTAAAATAGCTACTGTAATGGCAGTAAGGGCAAAGAAAACCTCGTTCTTTTTGACACTCCTTCTTCTTGTGCCGGTAGTACGATGTGGAATGCGAAAAGCTTTTGCCGCAATTGCAGCCAAACTTCTTTGGTTTAGTTATGTAGTTTCCTTTAAAAAACCCCACAAATATATTCAAAGCTCGACTTGAAAGTGTTTGGATTTCGAATAAAACAACAGCTTTAACGCTAATAGTTTATTATATCATTAATAAAATATGACTTCTTGTCTCTATAGCTGGTCTACAGCAACGTAGTCATTTATGTTCATATCCAACGTGCCGAACGACGACGTGACGTTGCAAATGAGTTTTTTGGTAAAAAGCTGCCGGGCAAAAGTCGCAGAAAAATGACTTTTTCTTGTTGCACTCGTACTTCTGATGGCGCCACAGACTGTTTGCGTGAACGTACCGTTTTCCGCAAATACCGCATATGTTCTCTTTCCTAACACGATACCCTAAAACTGTATCGAAGAACAAGTTTAGCACATTCGTTCAGTGTTCACACTCCTTGCCGAACACACACACAATGTTATTGCAAAAGCGGTTTTGTCACACAGAAAGCTGTTATTCCCCACACTGAATTTAATTATTTGCAACCCTTAACTATAAATTGAAAATTATATTTATCATGAAAATCAAACGACTGTTTACGCTGATTGATTTCTATGCTTCAGACTCTGTCCAAGATGATCGATCACTTGTAATGTTGACTGTTTTCGGAATTTGCCTTGCAGCTTTCCTACAAATAAACTAGGATTAATCAAATGAAATTGCCAAGTGCCGGGTTCCTCGGGCACTCGCTGGTTTTACGCATAAAATGACATTGATTTTTCGCATGAAACGCTCTTAACTTGCCAATTGCCACTTTTTGCCACTAATTAGTGTCGTGCCCGGAGGTTTCGGCACAACAAACGCAGTAGAGAATGTTTGATTCATGATTGAGTTATTAAGGTTTTAACTAGGTGAAAAAAAGGTTAATGTCTTTATAAAAGCATCAACAATCGCATACCCGTAAAACAGTTGTGTCTAATTTACACGTAAAATGGCAGAATCATTAGACTTCAATTGTCGCGGGAAAAAGCACGCGACAATCTGTTCAAAGCTTTACACAATGCGCAAAGAAAATAATACAACTTATAAGAAAACTGAAAAGAATCATAAAAATAGTGTTAAAAAGCATCCCTTAGCACCTCAGTTTGATTGGCAACTTAAAACATCAACGGATCCTTGACAATGTTCTTACAGTAGTACTTCTTGTGCCTGTCCAAGTTCTGCCGATGGTAGTAGCTTTTCTCGCAAAACTGGCACTTAAAAATCCGAGTTTTTTTCGTTTGGTTTTTCGAACAACAACAAGCATCGTTCTGTGTAATATTTTTGCCTAAAAAAACACACATTAGCCTCAGTTGATACAATTAAAACATGCAAAACTTTCACAAACACCCATTGAAAAATACACAGACAACACAAATAATTTTTATCAACTTTATTAATGATAACTACCCTAGAAACGGAATATTTCTTCACAATTCAACCATGTTGTAAGCTATTGGGTAATTGAGGAACTAACCAGTTTCATGATCACAAAACGACAGAGTATTGCTTACGAGCATAATTTGATGGTGTTCATTTCAATCCCTACACCCCATTAATAAACTAAAAGATACCACTCTTGTGTGGGCCGCGAAACCCAGCTGGATATACCATTATTGACCTTAACTACTAAATTAATATTTTTTGAGCATTATAGTCAGATGAAGCAAATAATGTTCTTAAGTCTACAATTAAATAAAACGCTTAACATCGCTTAGGAGGCGGTTTCCCTGCAAGCAGCAAAGCTTCGAAGATATGTTGTTGCAAGAGTTAAGCAATGTACAGCGCAAAAGCACTAAATTACGCTTAAAAGTGATGTCTTTTAACAAGTACCTATAAATAAATCCTTTTGTAGAATCAAAATTTGAATAACCGGTAACTAGAACTGTTCAAAATTCGGGCAGTGAGGCGAGGAACTAACAATATACAAAGAAATCTCAATGACTTCGATATCACGCCACCTCGACGCCCAAGTGCGTTGGTAATAAGCAGTAAATTAGAAAACTACTCTTAATTAATAACAGTTTCATTAATCACATTTGTTGTTCCCAGCATCGTTTCAAATATATAAAATTTTTATGGAAAACTAGGGCTAGATAGCTAAGTTATGTCTGGTTAACGAGTGTAAATTTTATCACATTTGAGATAGTTTGGCAACATTTTTGACACTAGCCATAACGTTTCGAAAATCGTGCTACTCTACTGATTGGGCCAATGAAAAACACTGCCGCTACACGTATAAAAGTACAAAAATATATATGCACGTACATACATAACCATCAAACTGGCGAGTGTGATATGAAGTGATAGATTGCGAGCATTCACTTTGAGGTAGAAAAGCCACTAGTGTTGATCTTAACGTGCACATAAACATGTGACCATTAACATAAAAACGCACTAGCAGTTTTATTGTTTAGTGAATCACCGCCACTTTAAAAGGCAGTTTTTAGTAAATATGGCGTAAAATGGTACTTAAACATAACATCATACGTTCTAATATCAAGAAATCCAATATAAAAAGGCACAATTGCAGGAATGTGAAGAAATTCCATAAAAATTCCTTCTAAAAATCTAACTGTCTTCGTCGACGGTCATTTCCATTTTGACGCTTTTCAACAAAGAGGAGTAATCTTCATCGATAGCATCCTTCGAATCTTCATCTCCTACCTGGTTCTTGTCGCTTTTGGCACAAGAATAGTCAATCTCCCGGTGCATCCTCTCCATGTGGCGGTTCATATGCATTTTCTGTTTAGCCTTGTAAGGGCAATAGACGCATTGAAATTGTGGTTCTTTGCCGCACTCCCACTTCTGATGGTTCCTCAATGAGCTCTTCAGTTTGTAGGTGCGATCGCAGTCTCCGCACACAAAACCTTCAGACCGGGGCGACCTGCAAAAGAACAGTACAGCAACTTACAAGGTGGTGATGGTGAGGGACTTCAGCTTACCCCACTCTAGTGATGCTCAGATCTAAGCCTGTTGAAAGACCTTCAGCTGCACGCTGCAATAAGCTTTTCCGCATGTTCTCCTGCAGCATCAGCATAGGCATTATAAAATTACTGTTTAAAGAGTGCGGTGGAGGCAAAGCGCGTTGGTCGGGTCCTAAAAAACGGGACTTTTATTCCATTCACACGCTTTCATGACTTATTTATTAATGATGCATTTGGAGGAATGTACAATGTCTACTCTGACCAAACATAACCAGTAAAACAACATAATTCTACAAACAGTTCTATCGCAGATAGAGACTTCCTTTCCATGTTGCTCAAAAACCTCCATAGCCCTGGACACTGCAGTTAGCTTGTGACTCTGTAAACTCGACTGTTCTCTAGATACTCAACTGATAAAGCTACAGCCTAAAACATGCATAATTAGTTAAATGCCCGCAACATTAGTGCTGGAAGATTGAAATCGCCAAGGGTAGTTTTACAACTTTAATGACACGAAGCCCTCTAAATAACGCCAACTGGCCTACAAGTTACAACAATTATACTTAATAAGTACAAATATCCTCCAACGAGCCAGTAATTAACGAAAAAATTAAATCCATTCTTTATCCAGCTGCTCTGGATCGTGTCGATAAGGCCGATGTTTTTTCGGCTGGTCCTTGGTGGTTTCATAATAATCCATAGCAGCAGTCACGCCCGTTTCCTGGCTATTGCCAGCTGCATCATCTGCAGCAGCAAAGGCCGGCACAATGACATCACTAGAGATGATGTTCACTATAGTGGCTGCAGCAGTATTGCGTCGTTTGAAGCGCACCTCCGTCGGTTTCTTTGCATCGCCCTGCTGAGCGCTAAAGTCTCCTCGACGAGTGAAAAGTCCGTCCTGATTATCCAAAGCTTTGGGTTCCCTTCGCGAAAACAACTCCGCTGGTTTAAAGGCTTCGCCTCCAACCGATTCTCCATGAACGAACTTCAAATGGTCCCTCAACTTTTTCGGGTTGGTGGTTTGAAATGAGCACTTGTGGCACATGGTTTGGTTGTCAGCTATTGCTGACTGGGAGGTTTGGTACTGATTGGCTGAGTAATACTGGGAATCTGGCACCAGAGAACCATCCGGGATCTCTTCAGAAGGACTTTCAAACTGCTCCGGAGCCATGGGCGAAATTTTGGGAGCAGCAGGGCAAAGGCTCTCCTCAACTTGGGCGTTTTGTGCCGTTTCATAGCTCTTGATTGCTGACTCGTAGCTCCCATAATGGTACATCTGCGCCGATTGGTAGCTATATTGCTGATTTTCTCCTGTAATTTTTTCTACGTGATACTTTTCCATATCTTCGTCGCCTGCCCCGTCGTCTCCTTGCTCAGCTTCAAAGGTCTCAGTATATTCAGTTGCTGCTCCATCTTCATCTGCTTGGAGTTGCTGAGATTCTTCAACCTGCTTCCATCTGGATCCTTCCCCATATTCATAGCGACGCCCAGTGTCTTCGTTTTCAGCAGTCTGATTGTAGCGCGCCTTGTTTTCCTCCTGTTGCTTTTTAGCTTCCTGAGCCTTCTTGCTAGCTTCATAATGTCGGTGAAGCAGCGCGCGAGCCACTTCTTTCTTCAACTTGTCCGACTTGTACTTCTCATATTCATCGCGCTCATGGCTTGGAGAAGGCACATATGGGGACACACTCTTATTCATGTGGGCCGGAGGCTCAATATCAAACCCATGAGGATCCACCTCGCTTTGAGCAGCAGACGCCGAATTTTCCGGGACTTTCATTGGCTCGCTGATGTTTTGAGGAGTGTCGCTTTTCACGTTGCCGAGAATGCGCTGTTTGGTGGTAAACCAATCCTCTGTCCGGATATCGGGAGTGGGTTGCGAAATCCTTGGCGGGTCTGGACAATCAGCAACTTCCACATCTCTTTGTGGTTCTGTAGGAGCCTCCTCATACGGGGCTCGTTTCTGGGGCAACTTCCGCTCTTGGGAGTTTCGGCGTGTAAAAATACAGGACAAACTATCAGTGAGCAGGCCTGAGCCGTTGCGCGGCGACTGGTTGGGAACCGGGCGTTCGTCTACTGCAGCTGCTTCAACTGGAAGTGGAGCTGGAGCACGTTTCTTCAATATTGAGGGTTTCGGCTTGGGAAGTTCTGCAGGTTTTTCGACCAATGCCGCCGCTGATGCCGAAACAGATTGTCCACTAAAAGAGTCAGAGCTCTCCGAATCCAGGCTGGTTTTTGTCCGTTTGGGCAAGGGGATTTTAAACTGGTCACGGTTGGTGTGGCTCTGCTTCTCGCTGCTGGCCATCTGCAGCCTCCGCACTCCAAGAAGAGGCACGTTCACCTTTGCCGAATGGAAGGCTGGCGCAGGAGGAGCCCTCCGTTCGTAATCAGATGGATAGCGACAGTCTGCAGTACTTTGGTTGCGACGCATGTATCCTAAAAAAAAACTTGATTAGCACAAAAGCAACTGGCAATAGATCGGAACTTAAGCGAAAAGTTTGGGGGAATTAGGATTTAGGGGGCTTCGGCATCAGCAACTGCTGATGCCAATTCCAGATAATGATGCAAATTTACGGCCGCGTTTTATTCAATTTTTAATTAACAAATTCTTGACGATTGTTGGTCTTCCTGGTCGGCTTGATTAGCTCATGTATCGTTGTATGAATGCGATGTCGGGTTGTAACGTGATGGGGCTTTTCCCCACACGTCAGCTCAACGTGATTATTCAAAGAAGAGGCGTGTCAGAAGATGTCCGTCTACAACACGAAGATTTTACTCAACGACTACCAACAATTTTCAAAATACAAAAATTAAAACCAGTTGTATTGGAAAAGTTTTTATTGCATTTTCTACTAAAATCAGTCAACTCAATTCCTGCCTGGTTAGTAAAATGCCGTGTCGGGATAGCACATGGCTGGGCATGTTTTTTAAATATTTACTCGTGTGGTCGCAATAAGGACAACGATAGACTGGAGTTTGACCACAAGTGAATCGCTTGTGATTGGCCAGCGACGATTGATGCTTGAACACAGCGGCACATTTGGGACATCGAAATATCGCTGCAAAACAAAACGTTGTCGATCATCATCAGGCAATCGCTCGGATTGGTTCAACATTAAGGCTATAACAACATAAGGCCGTGTCGCTTTTTCAGATGGTTTTGCATTTCGTTCCTGCGGTAGTTCTTGTAGGCGCAAAAGCAGCATCCGTACTTCGGCTCTTTGCCACATTCAACGCTCAGATGCCTTTGCAGGTTTCGTTTGGCATTATAGGTCTTCGTACAGTTGGAGCAGGTAAAGGGGCCAGTTCCAACCGAACCTGATTTATTTTCCTGCTTGGCCTCTCCACTCATCTCAGCCATGATGAAAACCTGAAACCCCGCTGTCAAAACAATCTAAAAATTACTGCGAGTCAAATTACTTGATTCTCCTCAGGTGGCGTGTCTTCAACCATCAGCTGTAGCTGAGACTCTGGCATTTCTATCAGCTCTTTGTCGCTTTCCATGGACAATTGGAGGCTTTTCTGATTCAGAAACGTGTCATTCTGTTCCTCTGGATAAATCAGTTGAATTGTCCAAGAGTTCTGAGCGTCATTTTCCAGGTCGGGCATCAAAATGCTAAGGGGATCTACAAAGCAACACCATTAAAAATTTTCAATTAAATGAGCACACTTTTCATTTCTGTCCCCTCAAAGGCTTTGTGGATGGTGTTTAAAATTCAAAAATTAACCGTTTCCTAGGATCGGGCCAAAGAAAACCCCTGAAAAGTAGCTTTTAAACAGTTTATTAATATTAACATACACAAAGCACACTTATAATTAAGACGACAAATCCATATGAGGTTAATATACTTCAAGAGCTATTTCTGTATGTACAGTTCCAGTTGATTTAATTCAACATCCGAGTTACAGATGATTTTAGTGCAAAACCAACTGTTGCTGTGGAGGAATAAAGCAAGTTTGATGAAAAAAACTTGTGCCTGCTATTTTTCTTAAATACCTACTATGAAGTATCCTAAATCTAGCAAAACGTACTGGTTTGCCAACATGTGAATTCCGGGTTAATAAATATTAAAAAAAACAGCCATAACAAATAAATTAAATAAATAAATAAATAAATAAATAAATAAAATAGTCAGTAGAGTGCTGGCGCCCGTTGAAACTCACCCTCAATCCCGCCCGGGGGGAGTGAGCAGAGAAACGGGGCAAACACTCAACTAGAATTAAACGTTACTGGCACATATGACTAGCAGATTGAATGAAAAGTCTTCAATGCGATTCAATGGTTTGTGAGATCTTGATTGAAATTAACTATCCACACATTTAGCCTAGCTACTTGAATGCTAAAAAGTATCCAAAAGGGGGGCTGAAAGCCCTCCATTTTGAACCTGAACTACTTACGGTCTAAAAAAGTATTCCGAATTAAGTACGACTATTTCAGACAACAAATCAACCCAAAAGCTTAAAAACTGCTGTTTGTCGAGTTTTCCACATAAATCTTCTCGGGCTTAATTTCATTTCTCGCCCAAGTCGAATTATACAAGTACTGATGGCCTTTCACGTGATTATTGAGCACGTAGGCCCTTCGAGCCCTATAAGGGCAGTGTGGACACTTCAGTTCCGGCTCAATGCCGCACTCTTGCCGAATGTGGCGGCTCAATGTTTTCTTGTGATGGTAAATTTTGCCGCACTTCGGACAAGCGAAAATTGCCGCTACTCGCGGCTCAGTTATCTTCATTTTCACTTTTGATCGCTCTAAAACATTATATAAACATCTGTAAATCGGCTAAACGGGACACTCCGGGCCTAGATATACCTACTTTACTGAAAATCAAAAGCTGCAAACATCAAGATGCTTAGTAAAAAATGCACACGCACACACAACACAACAGAACACAAAAAGCTCTACGAAACCTAAAAAAAAATCGGCAATTAACGAAAATAATGTACTAGCAACAGATGGTGCAAGTAAAACAGAGTCCAATGGTTTATTAATTAAAGGGTAAAAGGATATTCGCTTTTTCAGCATGAGCTGCTTCCATGCTAATGAACCTGAAACTAGACAAAATCCAGGTTGATGCTCGAAAAAACTGATATCCTTTCCAGTCGAGTTGAGCTTCAGGCTTGAGTAATGCTGCGCTAAAATCGGCAAACTGTTAATACCTATGGACTTCCAAACCAGAACCCCAAATATGCCTTAGATCAGCAAAATTCAGATAAAATCACGCTGAAAATCAACTACTCTATTTCCAGATCAGCAATGACTACTACACATTGAGCTTCATCTACTCTAAACGAATTGGGGGTACTTTGTTTTGCGCGATGGCACTAAACACCTGAAAATGTTGAGTATTTTCGGGCACGTTCTCTTGTGCACTTTCAGTGCCAGTTCCGCATTGAACGCTTTGCCGCAGACGCACTTCAAGCCTGAAATAAAAGAGTCAGTTAGCAAAAGATAAAAAACTCAGTCTGGGCGTCTAAAGGGTTGCAAAGAATACAGCTGATATATTGCCAAAAATATATTCACTCCATAATACTGTTCCTCATAATCATGTTGTATTCTACACATTGTCCCAAAATCCGTGCACTTTCCGCATATGCTTCAATATGTCAAATCGGTGCTTCATTCGTACCTCGCAAAACCTGCACTGGAATTCCGGCTGCTTACCGCACTCGTACTTTCTGTGCCTGTTCAATGTGGTCTTGGTGCGGTACGATCTTCCACAGCGACAAGGATATTTCTGCTGAACTAGAACAGAGTTTAGCCATTGGTGTTCAACAACCAAAAACATCTGGAACGATATACAGAATCAACTGACAAGAGATGGGAAAAGTATTTGTCCTCCAACCAACTATCTACCACCTTAAACTAGCAAGAAGAAGAAAGTTGCTGCTGCCTCCAGAGCAGCTCAGTTTGAGCAAGTAAAATCCCAGCTTCACACACAATGCTTGAGTCTTTATTATCGCTTGAAGCATTTCACAGTTACAAATTCCACTCGAGACACAGCACAAAGTTAAAGGTAAATCAGCCAAGGATGGTTCTCCGAATAAATTCGAAATGTTGATCAACTTTCTGATCAAACAAGTCCAATCAAATAAACTGTTTGTAGGCGCAAAACGGAAATGTTTGGATTAAAACTGTTCCTTATCTTCAATGTACTTTTTGTTGGTCTACAAACATCGGTTTACTGTATTAAACTGCTCTTTTTCTTCAAAAACAGAAGTTCCCAATCAGTTCATTTAGGGCGATGATTGTTTGAAGATAAAGTGGAGTTTTAGTGCAGGCAAATGATTTTGCAATCAACATTCGACTCCTTACCTTACCTGGCCCGCCCTTGGCAAAAAAATCGAGTTAACGCAAAATCTTAAAGCTAAAAGAGTGTCGACATCCATTCAAACGGGCTAAAGAACAAGAGGTACGTTGAAACCGCAAAAAGTGCGTTTTGATCAATGACTAGATCCAACAAACTACTGGAACGTGTGAGTTCGTTGCTAATAAATAAGCCTAAACCCTAAGAACAAGAACAAAATAAATAAATAAAATTGCACATAATTTGTACAATAAACATGGAACGTAAAAGGAGCACTAACAAAACGTAAAAAATTCAGCAACTAAGACAAAACATGGAATGTGGGAGAAAATAACGAACAATGACATGACTAGAAAGAAGTACAATCACCGTCAGCATTGGCAAAAAAGTCGCGGTCAAAGTTAAGGATTCTAGGTGGAGTATTGCGGTCTTTTTCGGACTTAACGCAAGAATCGTTTGCAACTTGCAAAACCAACTTTGGCGGTTTTTTCACCACCTTAAAGTCGAACTTATCGGGCTTTGGAGCAACAGGCTCGACTTGCCTCTGTCTCAACTTCTTTATATAAATATCGTGAATATTTCGCATGTGCTTCAAAAGGATATATCCGTGCTTGAAGGCCTTGGTGCACATCTGGCAAACAAAGGCTGGCTTTTGTCCGCAATCAAAGCGTAAATGTCGGCCCAGAGTTTTCTTCTGCTGGTAGGTTTTCTTGCATCTTTTGCATCCATAGCGCACTTTTTCGTGATTAAATACCTTAAGAGTTGCATATTCCGCAAAGTCCGATGCATAGAACACAATGGCTATAACATAAAATCGCGTACAATACAAAAAAGCAACCACAGATGCGTGGATACTTACATACATTGAAAACAATATCGAACAGCACAGCAAACGGCAAAATGCTAAAAAAAGCCAACTCCAAATGAAATCTAGATTACGAAATAAAAAAGCAAGTGGATGCAATTGAAACGCCGGTTGGAGCTTTGGAAGGTTTTTTGTCTTCACAAAAATTATTCTTAAAAAAAACAAATAAACTTCGGTTAGTTTAGATTCTATCTATCAAGACAATGTAATCTCGGTCTTCTAGTAAGTTGGTTCATCAGGCACAATTGCGCATTGGTTATAAT